TGACAGTTGTCATAAACATGCATAAAAAACCTTCATATTCATGACATGTGTCATGTCATGATTATGTAGGTGTCATGTCATGATTATGAAGGTGTCATGTCAGTCTTATGCACAACCCTTCAAGTAAAGTGTAACCAATTACTTTAATAAAGTAATTGAAAAAGTTACACTACTATTACATTTTAAATAGGGTAACTTGTAATCTGTAACCTATTACATTTCCAAAGTAACCTTCCCAACACTGGCTATATTTATATTAAACACTACTGCATCAGCCATCAGTCACTGATGTAGTATCAGCTGATATCAGTTCTCTAGATGCTGGTATTGGCATTGAAACATGCATATTGGTCAATCACTTTTTGTCACTTTGTTAATACATTTTCAATGACAAAAAAGGAAAAAAGACTGTTTTATCCACAGTGATTGCAGACACCCTGGAGGCATCATACTCTGGCTCTCCCTCTCAGAGCTTGTCTGAAGGTGATCCTCTTCAGCTTGAGTGCCAGGTCTCCAGCCAGACTTTTCAACATACTCATCTGTCGGTCACCTGGTTTCTCCATGGTGAAGAGGATGAAATCCCCCGGCCAATCATTACTCTGGACAAAGATCTGACTGTAAAGCCAGGAGCTGGATTTGAGGATGGCTATCGTGCTGGTCTTATCAGCATGGATAAGGTGGAGGACACAACCTACAGACTGAAGATGCCTCAAGTGCAGCAGTCAGACCAGGGGAAGTTTTACTGCAAAGCCATTGAGTGGATACAAGACCCAGACCGTTCCTGGACACAGATTGCCCACAAAACCACCACAGCATGCAATGTGGAGATCAAACGAATCGGTGAGATTTATATTCTGTAATTTAAACCAGAGGCTCTCTGATTTTTACTTCAGCAACCAGATTTTACACTTAGCATTTAAGAAAGACAAAGTTTAATGTACAAAAGTAACAATAATATCCTTACAATCAAATATTGATATTTATTCCCATTTATCTACCCATTTGTCTAAATAGCTCTTGAGTTTTAATAGTTTCATGCACTTTTCAGTCAATAATTCACAGCAGAGAGAGAAAACAAAAATCACTGAACCTGTGTTAATGTATTTTGTGTCAAATTTGCTATTACCTGAAGTAGTTTGTAGATGTTTTTGAGGATAAATGCAGGTCATACAGCCTACCCATGATGGCATTTCTAGCTTCTACCAAATTACAGATGCATTTGTAGCATAATAATGGACAGCGGATGTCATATGTAACTATATAGGTCAGAACCTGTTGTAATGCCTGAGTGAGTATGAGTGCAGTCATACACAGGAAGTTGTGTAAGAGAACCTGTTTAATCTCATGCTTTTTCTAGCTCTTGAGTTTTAATAGTTTCATGCACTTTTCAGTCAATAATTCACAGCAGAGAGAGAAAACAAAAATCACTGAACCTGTGTTAATGTATTTTGTGTCAAATTTGCTATTACCTGAAGTAGTTTGTAGATGTTTTTGAGGATAAATGCAGGTCATACAGCCTACCCATGATGGCATTTCTAGCTTCTACCAAATTACAGATGCATTTGTAGCATAATAATGGACAGCGGATGTCATATGTAACTATATAAGTCAGAACCTGTTGTAATGCCTGAGTGAGTATGAGTGCAGTCATACACAGGAAGTTGTGTAAGAGAACCTGTTTAATCTCATGCTGTTTCCTGTGTCTCAAAAGTGGCCCCTGATGCAGGCTCGTTCAGTGTTTATCTGAAGGCTTCAAAGGGGCCGCTACAGGAGGGAGACGCACTGGACATCCGCTGCAGTGTGAATGCACAGAACCTTCCTGGTCATTTCTTCTCGGTGACTTGGCTGAAGAACCAGCAGAAAGTGGCCCAGATTGGATCTTCTGGGGTGCTCACTATGTTTGACAGTTACAAAGAGCGAGAGAATGCAGCAGAGATGAGAGCAGTGAAAACCAGTCACACGGACTACCTGCTGACCATCCGTTCGGCTCGGGCTGAGGACCAGGGCCAATACCAGTGTGAAGTATGGGAGGAAAACATGAATGAAGATGGCACCTACAAAAAAATACAAAAAGAAATGTCCAGTCCAGAGACTGTGAGCATCACGGCTAAAGGTAATTAATTATACAATTATTCCTCCTATGTCGTCATTGTGCTTTTCAAAGTTCCTAAACCTAATTATGGGTGACAATAACAGTGATGCTTGCCTTGAAATAATAGGCATTGGTCTGCATTCTTTGCTGTAAATAATCTAGTCACAGTTTTCACAACAAAAAAAGCTTGCATTAAGACACTGACATTGCCTTTTTTTTTTTTTTTTTGCCTGTCTGGTCAGAGAGTGATCTTGCGGTGGTCATGGAGATGAAGGACGCGGTGACTGAGGGAGATGCACTACGAGTCTTCTGCTCAGTGTCGGGATTCAAAGGTCCTTTATCAGTGTCATGGCAACACAAGAAAGACTCGGGGGCTTCCTTCAGTGATGTCATTAGTCTGACCCATGAGGGAGTGATGAGAGATGTTGGGGCAAGGTATCAGAGCAGAAATGTTCAAACATTTCATTCTCCAGCTGGAAACTTTATTCTAGAGCTTGGTGCATCTGCAACATCTGACAGCGGCGAGTATAAGTGCATTGTGTCTGAATGGACAGTACAGAGCAATGGCGAGATGAAGAAAGCCAACACCAAATCTCAGCAAAAAGCCATAATAGTTAATTCTGTTGGTAAGATTACTATCACACATTATTCTCAGTAACAGAGAAAACTGTCAAGACATTCAACCAAAAATTATTTGTAATTACTTTGCTCAAATTTGTACTGTTACTGATATTAGAGTTTAAATAATCACCGCAGACGTTTCTTTTCAGAATCTCTAATGAAGGTGAGCTTGAAAAGTCGTACAACAAATGTGCCAATAGATTCTCCAGTAGAACTGCTATGCACCGTCAGAGGGCCTAAAGTGTCTTTGGCTGTACGCTGGATGTTTCAGCCCCGCAATTCAACTGTTCAAACAAATATTTTATCCATAAGCCATACTGGAGAAATCACCTGGAAAGCAGATCAGAGAAACTATCAGCTGTCCATTCAACAGCCGTCAGACACTCATTTCACTCTCATGGTGCCGAGAGCCAGCAAGCAACAAGAAGGACAGTATCAGTGTCAAGTTGATGCCTATCAAAAGGATGTACAGAAAGCCAAGATAATCTCCAACCCGTTAGCTGTGATTGTACAAAAACTTGGTAAATATAGCTGCTTATTAAAAAAAATGATGTATGTAAGGTTCATTCTACATCAAAAATGTGGACATACTCTTGTCTTTATAATCATATATTTTATATCTTAAGGCATATTCCTATGCTGAAATGCTTGCAATTAGTTTTGAAGACAAATATAAATTGTGCTTTCATATGAATTTCTTTCCAGTTTTTATGTTTGGTTGAACTGCATGGTGAAACAGCCAACAACTGTACAGCATAATTCCTGTTTAAAAGAATCCCAGGATGCACCTCGTAAAATTGGTTGAGTGAATTTCCTGAGTGAACAGAGCTGTAATCTAAAGAAGCTCAAACCTAAGAGAGCTTGGGCACACACTATATTAGGTGTCTTTAACGAATATGTACATAGTTGTTACATTGTAGTTATAAAGGAAAGCCATATAATTACACATGTAATCACAATTTTTACCATACCACAAACCTAAACTTACTATAAATCCTTCCCTTTTCCCTATTCCAACCCGTATTCCAACTTGGTCACATTTTATTTTTAATATATCCTTGTTACAGTGTAATTACACAAATATGTATTGCGTAAATTAACAATATTTTCAGTCATGTGACTGGTGTGGAGACCTGGAGGGCAAAAACAAGTCATTCTAAAGCGCTTAGGATGAAAAATGCTTAACCTGCCTTAAAGTACTTTATGATCCTTATTCTATACAGGCAAGCAGATGAGCACAGAATATGAACGCAACACAAACAAAATGCACATCAAGCATTTATTTGTCATGGTTTTCTGTGGAAAAATTCTTAACATGAAACATTTGCATGTTCTGGTGCATGTTCTTGCCTGTAATATATACAGTAGTATGTGTCATAAATAAGGTGGGTTACACTTTATTTTGATAGCCCACTTTAGACATTCTACTAACTATAAGTAACTTTGCAACTACATGTCACCTAATTCTCAGAGTAGACTTAGGTTTAAGGTTAGTAGAACAAGTTCACATATACTTGCAATGATTCTTCTAGTCAGTATGTTGTGGGCCCATTAAAGTAAAGTGTTAGAAGATATTAAGCATACAGTCTGAATTGTTGAATTGTTTAACATTTTTAGTTATTACATAATTCCCAAACTTCCATTTGTATTATTTTACAGTAGTAAAGTATTTAAAAGTATTTACATAGTAAAGTATTTAAAATACATTACTATTATTACAATATGTAGAAAATAGAGATAAACAATGAATAGGTACATCTGAATTTTTGACTGTTAATAACTGTGGACACCAGGTCTATCAACATGGAAACAGAAAGGAGAACAGGAAACCAAGCCATGGTTCAGGCGGCATTAACACAAATTAGCAGTAATAGGACACACCAATGCTAGCATACATACCTACCACAAAAGAGACTCACATGTAAATTAAATTACATAACATTTATAAACGTCCTTTAAAGCATTTTTGCCACTATGTTGTCTTTGCACATTTAGAACCTTTTTTAAATAAAGCATGTAGATAATTGTAGATTCAGCTGTTTAATATCCCTATCTCTCTTTCTTCTTTACTTTGTAATGTTTAATACAGTCAGCAAGATGAGCCTGTACTCACCCACTTCTCGTCTGGAAACCACTGTCAATACTGATGCTAAGCTTGAATGCTCAGTCACGAGGACAACCACAGATACCTCTCGTTTCACGATAACATGGATGTTTGGGTCCCAGATGCTGTTAACTATGGACCTAGATGCTGTTGTCAAGTTTGGCCCTGCAGCCAACCTAGAGATGGACCAGAGGATCCGTATGGAAATAAGACAGAAACAGGACTTCCAGCTGATTATTCAACAGGTCAGAACATCTGACAGTGGGCAATATCATTGTGAGGTAGAAGAGTGGCTTCAGGATCCTCTTGGTGACTGGTATTCCCTAAAGAAAATGTCTGTTTCCAAAGAGCTGGTTGTCAAAGAGAAAGGTAAAAACACATTTACTTCATTTAATTTTTTTTCCACTGAACTGTGTTCTACACACAAATAAGTTTAATTGATTATTAAGGGTCCTGGGGGGGGGGGGGGGGATT